TGGGGTGGGGTGGTTGGGGGCTGGGGGAGGATAGGGAAGGGGAAAAAATTTATTCACTAAGTAGATATGAATAGCTAGCAGATCAGTTTCAGCCATGATGCCAAGAGTCATAAATCCTTAGGTCCATGCAGACACAAAACCCCACCAGCAAGAGAGCCCCAACGGCCTGAACCACTATATTCAGATCCCCTGGCTATAAAGGACTTTTATTAACCAACCTATGGAGGAATCTATGCCAGGTTTTTGTTAAGGAAAGGGTGGGTCATGATAAACAACTGGGATTCTGAGTCTAAGACTGTGGTTGTTAGACTACCTTTGATTTTAACCTTTTGAGCATGTACAAATCAGGAAACTTGTTTTCAGTAGGCAAGGTAATTTAATCTATTCTGATCGGGTCCACAATATTGATATGTGTATGTAAGTGGGTATATAGATATATAAAATAGGTATTTTAGAAATGTATTTCTGCTAACATTAAGCAAACCTATTATGTTGGACATTTGCAGTGTTAAGGTGTCTAAAGCAAAGTGAATATGTTAAAGTATTTTGTCATTTTTCTGCTACAGGTAACACTCCACTGTAATTTCCTAATTAGGGCATTAGTCAAATTGAGAAATACCACTAAGGAAGAGATTCACTAAAATGTTAGCCATGGAGTTTTTTAATCGCAAAATATGTAGCCTGTCTCTGAAATGCAACAAAAATCACTTAGAAGTCTTACTAAAAGTTGGCTCTGTGGTAATATATTTGTAGAGGTATTTTCTCTGAAGCTTTAGTGTTTAGGCAAGAGACAATACAAGTCCTTGAAGAATGAAGGACATATTCTACATAATTGGAAGATTAACTTATGAAAAGTTAGGTTTAAAAGTGGCTGAAAATAATGGTATTTTGGGGAGTATATGTAGTGTTTCTCACGCAGGAAAAAAATTAACAAGCTAGGCTTATTCAAAAGGCTAAAGCAAACTCAAAACACTAATAATATTGGGAAAAAAAACATTAGCCAACAACTTGATAAACATGGAAACACAGAAGGAAGCCATTATCACACAGCACAAGATGTAGCTGTACAGTCTTTACTGTAAGGGAAAACAATGATATCAGACTCTGAGGACTAGAATTCACTACAGAAACAAAATATACTGAAGGTATGTGGTAAGTTTAGTAAAAATAAACATCTCCCCCTCAAACTACTGCTCTCCCTTTGCAGCAAATCTTTAAATTCCCTTCATTTACTGTCTCTAATTTCTCTCCCACTCCAATTAGACTTTTATTCCCTGCTCTGCATTGCAAATTGCTAATCAAGGTCACCAAAGGTCTCCAATTCTTAAACTTAATCATTGACAGCTCTCAGATCATGTCTTAACAGACAGTAACATATGATAACTGATCACCCATTCCTTCCTAAATACTGTATATATGCTTCTTCACTTGACTTTCAGAACACATTTTCTGGGTCACTTTTTCTAAGTCTACTTTGCTGGTTCCTCCTCTTCTGATCCCTTTTGTTGAAGTTTTCAGAGGTCAGTCTTTGGTCCTCTCTTCTGCTCTATATTCACTCCCTTAGTGATCTCATCTAGGCTCATGGAACCATCGATGTTCCATGAACTATTGAATGTATATCTCTAGTCCAGACCTCTTTCCTGGACTCACCTAATATATCCAACCATCTACACAAACTGGCTTTTTGACCTCTCTACTTCTCAAACTTCTCACATCTTAAATGGAACTCCATACTGATCT